TCTGATTCAGAGATAAGAACTGTAAGCTGTAATACTTATCACTGCTTTCCCCCATGAAGGCTTTGTTCATGAGTAGACATAGATGTGATTGCACAGCAAATGAAAAGTTTACATCCCCTTCCAATGCAGAATTAACTGCATCCAAACCCACAGGAACCAATATTCCTAGGTGTACTTGACCTTATATGGGAATGGGCTGTTAAGATAGTCTACTGCCAGATCTGGCATTTGATTACTTTAGGAATATATGAGCAGAGAATATTACCATGTTCCAAACCAGACCAGTCAGTCACCCCAAAGTTTCAGGGACATGTTGGGGACTGAACCTGACAGATGTCTTATTGCTCAGACACAAAAGGTGGTGGAACATGCCCCTGCTATTCCAGCTCCAAAAAATCTGTTTTAAACTCTTGCATGTCACTTCTGTCTTATGTTCCATTTTTCCAATAAACCCCCTAGATAATTTTCCCCCTACATCACCTTCTTTAATTGAATTGACTGCACTTGGGGAGAAGTGTAATTAGCACTTTAATTGTCAGGCTCATTTTGATTCTTCTTAACATTAGGGAATTTATCAAAGTTAATCCCCTGTCCTTTTGCCATGAAATCTCTTCATGGCAGCCACCCTCATTCTGTATTAATTTAACTTGAATCCTGCCAAAGCACTGCAGAATTTTTAATTCTTGGTTAAATTCCTCTAATTGTGCAGCAGAAATGCAGGGATTCACAGAGCAGAATAGCTTTAAATTCGCAGATGAGTCCACCTCTTTTTCTCATTAACTGACACAGTCTCAATAACGTACTCTGAAACATTAGAGCCCAATCAAAGAGAGGAAGCGGATGAAACTTTTGAAAAACAAATTGCAGGGGTTTCAAAGAGATGTGACTTAGTAGTCATTGGAGATTTCAATTATCTAGATATATATTGGGAGGCAAATTCTGCCAAGTAAATATTTTCACAGGCAGGAGCTAAAACTGTGTGGCCAGCAAGAAGTTTAATGCTTTCTTTCACACTAGAGGTCATGGCAGGATTTAAAATGACAGATAACTGCACTGTGGGCTGACTGGAAACAATTCTGACTGGCTAGAATGCTAAGCAATGCAAATAGTTTCTTTACGATTTTCAGAAGTTATTAAAAAAGGGCAGTGATTTTGAAGTTTTAGGTGTTAAAAAGCAGTAATTTACGGGTCTGAATTAGAGCCTTGAATGGCTCCATCATCCTAAAAGGGGAAAAAAGCACTTCCCACAGAGTCATTTTTTTCAAGTATGCAAATTTTTGTCTTATCCACAAATTTTATCTCTTTTCTATCAGCTGTAGATTTATGGTCACTTGCGTCTTTATGGGGGTAAAATAGTGTTATGTTTTGAAAAATCACAACTTCACAACCCCATGCCCAAATGCCCCCAAATTTGGTGCAGAGCAAAAGCAGATGTTCTACTACTTTTAATTTGGTGCTGATCTGAGGTCTGGTTTCATAGTTACAATTTTGTGTTTGGGGCACTCAAACAAAATTTTGCTTGCAGAACACTTTTTCCTGCGCTTGTGCAAAATATATGGCTACACTACAGTGTAGTCATAATGCAAGGGTAGACTCTTGAGTTTCATCTACCCCTCTCAGTAGTTTCTAAGTTACTTTAATTCATTTCTGCTAAATATCGAAGGATATTAATTAGGGAGCTGCTAAGTGTGAGAGACTGCAGCCAACTACAATGAATTAGAGCCCCTGTTGCACATTTTAGGATCCTTATCCTTGACAAGATAATGCAACTCGCCTAGTAAAATTGAATAAAATTGTTCTAATCCAATCACATTTCTCATTTGGTCTAAAGAGGCAACCTGTTCCCGTTCAATCCGCTTAGTAATATACTGAGTTAAACGTGCCCAAAGGTGAGCAAAAGACCCCTCAGGTTTCTTTAAAATTGATCTAAATTTTCTCCTGAGATGCTCTGAATTAATCCCAAAATCGGGAATACACTATCTGTCAGTAAGCCTCAAAATCTCTAGCTTCTTCAAGACACATCTGCAAATAGATCTCAGATAAAACTCCCCCTATCTGTGACTTTAAAATTATCATCCTCTCATCATCTTTAACCCTGAAGTCTATTTATTAGACTTATATACTGCCCAACAAACTCTCTCAAAAGAAATCAGGAAAGATTCAGGACAATCTCCTTTCTGATAATGGGAAAATTTCTTTAGATCGATATTTGAAGGATTTCCTGCACTAGAATCATCATCATCATCATCATCATTATTATTATGGGCAGCTAATTCCAATTTCTTCATCTCAATTTGGAACTGCATTTCTCTTTGCCTGGTTTCTCGCTCAAATTCCCTTTTCCTTTCAATGATTTTTTTCTTTTTCCAATTCTAATTGGTTTTTCATAGCTAACTCCTTCACTTTGAATTCCTGTTCTAGCTTCCATTTTTCAAAATCTTGGGAGCTTTGGATATTTTCACCTTCTGAGGCAATTATTACTGGTTCCTCAGTTTCTTCTTCACTTTGAATTTGAGGCTTCCCATTTCCTTCCACACCCTGGAGCTCAACTTGTGCCTCCATAACCAATTTTTTACTTCATTTGGGTGGCATAAACAATACAATTTCTTATTAAATTTGACTGGTTCTTTTCCCTCACAAGAGCCAAAAGGACCTCTCCTTGGGATTCCCCAGACCTGGGTTCAGAAGCCCTGAAATTAAGTCTTCCACCAGACTCTAACAGGTAACAATTTCTTACGCCACAGATCTTAACCCCTTTTCCCTCCAGATTCAAGAAAATTCAATTTCGCATTAGTTCAGAATCCGATCACTATGCCACCAAATTGTCACATTCCCACATGGCCTTTGGTTGTTTCACCAAGCAAAGGCACATGCTACATTAGCTGCCACCAGTTGATTCCATCAACTTTGTTCACTATTAATGACAGGTTCAGGCAACGTATCATTTAAGAACCAAGTAGAAATTGTTTATTGTTACAGGTTATAACCAGTCCAGTCAATGTCGTTAACTCTCAACTAAACAATCTTCTTTCTCCACTCTCTACCACCTACTCATTTTCTCCCCCTCTCACCTTTTCTTCCCCCCCTTAACTCTGCTCCTACCTACTCCTATTGGTGCACGCAAATTTCAATATAAATATTCACGAGCAAGGTGAACACTACACCACTTAATATTATTAAATTAAACATCAATCAACTGCCAAAATTTTTCCCACATTTGTTCAAATTGGGATTTTTGTATTTTTTACCCGACTGTTGAAATTGCCAATTTTTTCATCATACGGGGAATGTATTAATAATACAAATGGGTCAAGAGATCTCTGTCCTCATCTTATCCAGTTCCAACAACTAGTTCCTTCCACCATTTCTAAGATGAAAATAAGGGTACTTTTGTTTACAAATGGGTGAAACACGGTAAGCAATCAAAACCCTGGTCCATCCAGTTGAGTGTTTCCAGTGGGTCTATGAGTATTTCCCAGTCCTACCTGGAGATGCTGCTGGGAAGTGCACCTGGATCATTTATGAGCAAAGCTGGCACTGAACTATGGCTCCTCTCTACCTAGAGGGGGTTGGGATGAGCTCCTGCTGCTCAGCATGGGTTGGTGGCCAGTGATGGACTCAGTCTAGACTCAGATGTGCCACAACAAGTAAAACTGGGACATAAAAGTGCTTGCAAGTAGGCTAAAAGCTCAAAAAGTTCAGCAGTGGCAGAGCACCTGTTTTACATGTGGATTAGTTTGAAGTACTTAGTACCCTTGGTGCTATGTCCCTTGCCTCACTATGCACAAAAGGCTCAAGGCACACTGGAACAGTTTGCTTCTGGCTCTGAGCATATGCTCAGGTAGAAATTTACATTCCAAACCAACAGTCCATTTGTACTGGATTTAAAATGCACCAGCTTCTCCCCACAACTTTCCCACATAGAACTCAATTCCCAGAGTTTCTTTTCCTCTCTCTTTCCATCCCTCTTCCCTCTATAGGTTACTTGCTGAGTGACTGAAGACACAGTTTCACTTGTTAATAGCATCCAGATAATTCATCAATTAATTGAGAAAAAGAGACGGGAAAGGAGAGAAGGTGGAAACATTTGCTGAGATCCAAAGCCCTCTTCACATGTATTCTTCCCCTCGGCTCAAGGAAAAGCAAAGTATAAAACAATAGAATCAGATTAAAAGCATCAGTTGTTTAGGTATCTGGCTGCAGAGCCACAGATTGGGAGTTTGATTTCTCCACTGTTCCCCCCTGACAGGACCTGGACTCCATAATCCATAGCTCTGCAGTTATCATATTACTATTATTTCACCAGGACAGAGCGCTGGCAGCAAACAGTGATTATCCCCTGGCTGAAGTGGGACAAGGCTGGAGAACATGCCTTCCAGGTCTACCCATAGACCCAATCTAGACCTAATAGTCTGACTGGATTATTAGCTCTAGGCACATAATCAAACACTTGTGTATCAGCAGTTCTAATTTACAACAGCAACTTTGTGTAGCAAATTAAGGAAAGAGAACTGAGACATGCTGCAAACCAAGGTCACCCATCTTCTTGAAGCTGCAGTCTCACTCTGATCAAATATCATGGCCAACTCAACCAGCACCTGAAAGCAGTGGAGCATGCATGAACATTTCTGACAGTTGCGCCTGCGTGCTCCCACAAGCCTGTTTCTGGAGCTTTAGTTAAACTGCTCAGCATTTAAAATTTTATAGCCCAGACTTTCAAGTTTAATTTTGAAAATTCACACAAGCATCTTAGGAAAATCTCAGAGGAGCAAGTTGGCATACATAATTATTTGCAGGAAGTATAGGGCTCCAGTCTCCTCCAGATATTTTATCTTCTTGATACTAAACTAGTACTATTTTTATGCCCATGGAACCAATGGAATTAGCTGGCAAATGGAGGAGAAAGCCAAGGAAATTCCCCTCAGGTGAAAAGGCTAACAAACCAAGACAAATAAAGATTTGTTCAAAGAATAATAATAGACAAATAAACAACCACTTACTTGTTCAAGTGGAATGACAAGAAAAGAGCCCCCTCCTGCACTTTCTGTTACTATAGCAAGGAATTTGGTATTGACTGCACAGAAATGGTTGTCATGGACATTCTTGGTAATTGGAATTCCATCAAAGCAGTGCTCTCGGTTGGCCACTTTTCCATAGACATTTCGAAACTTGGAGCTGCGATACTGTGGTCGCCATGACATCTGCCAAGCAAACAGGTAGAAAATTTCAGCAACAAATGCCAAAAAGAAACATCTTGCAATTCCCACACACAACACAAAAAGATAACAGAGAAGATGCTGCCAAAATATGCAAGAGCACAAGAGGAAAACTTTGATCGCTTAGAACAAGGTTTATTTAATCCTATTTCTCACAATGACCATCCATGTGCTTTGTCTGCCCACAAATTGGGCAACCAATGGACTAACAGTAAGTCAGCCAGAGTTCTTTCTGTTCATGCTGAAATACAGTATTCATCTATCCATTAGAATAAAAAAATATATGCCACCCAATATAGATAAAAGCATCCTTTCAGCTGATCCCACTGGACGTATTTAGAGACAAAGCTCACCTGGTTTCAGTTATTTAAGACCAAAACAAATGGGTAGGAGCTGGGTGATCTGACATATCCTAGGGATCCCCACGAGAACAATCCTAACAAAGATAAGTAACAACTATAAAACTGTCTACAAAAGCAAATATTTGGCTCCATCCCCATCTAAACAGGACACACACACACACATGTTTATTTATTTATTTAGAAAAGTAGACTCCACTTTTCTGTATAAAAAAACTTAAACTGGCATACAGAATGCTAAATAATTTCATTACTAAAATCAGTTTCATAGAATGGCCAAGATCTAAGCTGTAATGAAGAATGTAAACTGCAATTCATTAACTAGAAGCAATTTAGCCATTGGAATTTAGACCAGCATCAATACTCAATGAGATCCTGGCTCTTAAAACCAAGGCCAGGCTAAAGCAATTCTGTGTTAAAGCAGAGAGTCCACTTTCACTCACATTACATATGACTTTGGCAGGCCAGCTGTCTCAGCAACCCACCAGAAACTCAGAGGATACGGATGACCACAGCCTGTGTGCGCCCCACAACAGGAAAGGCCACTGGACCTTCGAAAACCTCCAAAATTCACAATGGACTCAAAATGGGCAATCTTATTTGTAGGGGCAAAGCAATCTGTCAAATATCTGTGTTGTGAAAAGAACACCAGAAAACTGTTCCCCACCCGGATGCAATTAAGTCCAGTACACCTAATACACTGCATATCAAATAAAATATTATCTTCAGATATGGGATAATTCAGGCAATTATTCATCTCTTAATTTTTGAAGGCTTCTGAATAGTGTGCGATTAGTGATTATTACAGCAACATCACTGGCTGTCTTACAACACAGCTCTAGCAGAGTCTAAGATTACAGAAGTGCACAACTTGCACATCTCTATATGTTGTTTAACTGTAACTCTCCTCACCCTCAGTCAGCTTGGCCAATAGCAAGATATGATGGGAGTGGCAGTCTGAAATCTTCTACTCATATACAGTGGTGCCTCGCTTAGCGATTGCTTCGTTTAATGATGTATTCACTTAGCGATGAGGTTTTTGATGCGATTTTGCGCTCCGTTTAGCGATGTTCCCTATGGGGAAATTTCGCATAGCGATGTTTGGGACCTTGCCTCGCTTAGCGATGACAGTTTAGGTCCCCTGTTTCGCTTAGCGATGTTCCTTTTTCACTATTTTTAAAGTGAATGTTCAAAAACTGTTTTAAATGCTTGGGATCATTAGTGCACCTTGTAAAACCTTTGCAAACTTAATTTGGCTTTGTTCTGACTCTTCGTTAATTTTTGGTGAATTCCCCCCCCATTGGAATGCATTGAATTGTCAGTTTGACAGAACAAAGCCAAATTAAGTTTGCAAAGGTTTTACAAGGTGCACTAACGATCCCAAGCATTTAAAACAGTTTTTGAACATTGTAAGACACTTTAAAAATAGTGAAAACGGACATCGCAAAACCATTGGAATGCATTGAATAGGCTTCAATGCATTCCAATGGGGGAAATATTGTTTCGCTTAGCGATGTTTCCTATGGCGATTTTCGCTTAAGGACAGTAATCCGTTCCCATTGGAACAGATTAACCAGTTTTCAATGCATTCCTATGGGAAATGGTGTTTCACTTGGTGATGTTTTCCCATAGCAATGTTTTTTTGGGAACCAATTAACATCGTTAAGCGAG